GTTTTAATGTACTTTTAATCTTTTGTTGCAAGCCGTCCAGAGCGGCTGGGGAAACCCAGCCAGATGGGCGGGGTATTAATAGTAATAATAATAGTAATAATAATAATTTATACCCCGCCCTTTTGACTGGGCTGCCCCAGCCACTGTAAGGTAATCATAAATGGAGTTGTTCTGCCTCATGTCTATTTTTGCTTCTTCTGATGGCCTGTTTTCTTAGATAGCCGCAGTTTCCAGAACCTTCTTTCCCCTTTTCATGCTGTCATCCCTTTTAGCAGAGTGTGTTGAATTTTTTTCCATGCCTTTAAAGTTGCACTTGGATTACTTTCTGTTGTCACTTTAGGCGCTGGGCCAGCTGAACACAGGCTGAACTGGGGGTATAAATTTCACTTTCGTGCGCACGCGAATTGCACAAACCCTGAACTGTATGAAGCCTTCTATCCAAAAATGACGTAAAATAATAATTGGTTTGTGCAATCCTTTACATATCAGCGATGGAACTTGTGACTATTAGGAAGCAGCTTTTAAAGAAGCCAATATTTATTCAATTTCCCAGTGCGCCCCATGGCCCGAAAGATTTGGGGGACTTCTGGTCTAGGTGCACACTGTGCAGCTTGAATACCTGTGGGCTTCTCCAGATATCAAGCTGAGCATGCCTAGGGGGTTGGAAAAGATGCTTGAGGGCAGAGGAAAACTGCAGCAAAAACTAGGTAAAGGTAAAGGGACCCCTGACCATTAGGTCCAGTCGTGGCTGACTCTGGGGTTGCGGCGCTCATCTCGCTTTATTGGCTGAGGGAGCTGGCATACAGCTTCTGGGTCATGTGGCCAGCATGACTAAGCCGCTTCTGGCAAACCAGAGCAGCGCACGGAAATGCCATTTACCTTCCCACTGAATAGGTACCTCTTTATCTACTTGCACTTTGATGTGCTTTCGAACTGCTAGGTGGGCAGGAGCAGGGACCGAGCAACGGGAGCTCACCCCGTCGCGCGGATTCAAACCGCCGACCTTCTGTCCGTCAAGTCCTAGGCTCTGTGGTTTAACCCACAGTGCCACCCGCGTCCCTGCAGCAAAAGCTAGGCCTGCTATAAAGCTTTATTGAAAAGGAGTGAGGTTTGGAGTCATTTGCTTGGAAATTCCTGCCCCCTGGGGAACATGATCTTGGTAACTTCAGGTCCGCTAGCCATGTTATAACAGCCGCATGCAGGGATAATCCTGCATCCCATTTTATGTGTGTTGCATGCGCAACAGTATTCTTAGACTCCAAGGAGTACTACTGGTTTCTAACCGACAAAGATGTATTGCAGCAGCACTTCAAAAGATACAGTGACATGTGCAGAGGGAGGGAGATCACCTACACACATTTACACCGAGAGGGGAAAATCGAGTGCTGTTTTACAACTGGAGCAATATTCTGAGAATCAAATCCACCGAGGGATAAAGTCAGCCCAGACTGTAAAGTGAGAAAAGGGGGCGGAAAAATGAAAATGTTCCATAGGCTTTAAAGGTCTCGGAATTTTAATACAATCTAATTTGACTGGCTGTGCTGTGGTCAAGGCTTTGGCGCTAGAGACAATGGAGGGGGAGGTTGCCAGCCCTGGCCCCAGAGAGTGCTCTGGTAACTTTTTGAAATGTTGCAGTACCCGTTTTTAAAGATACAAGAGCCTTCGCAAACTCTGAAGCTTGTAACATAGAGGCAGGAGAAAAAATTAAGTGGTGGGGGACAAAATCTAGACTTGGAACTTGTATCAATGTTTAGTAATTTCATGGGGAAGGGCGGTGCAACATCTGCCTTGGTTCCCAACTTCTTCATGTGGGCATTAGAAAGCCTCCCCTTTTTTCTTTTTTTGATGATTTTTCCCCCTTTAAATATTTTTTATTAGGAGTTTCAAAATAACAATCAGTCAAAAATACATCATCCTCATTTCCCCTCCATTTCCCCCCTCCCCTCCAGAATTAAAAAACCCTTTCCTCCCACCCCCACCCCCCAGACTTCCCTCAGGTCCTCTCTCTGTTTTCTCAGCACATGTTAATCTCTGCATGTTATAAAATTGTAAAGATCCTTAAGTTATCTATATATATCAATAAAAAGTTTGTGTATGTTTATTCAAAACCTGCCAAGGAGTCCAGTTCATTTTGTTGTTTCTTTAAGTACCTTATGAAAGGTTCTCTGAAGTCACAGTCATCCTTGTCATGTAGTTTGTGTGTCAGTTTCGCCAGTTCTGTGTAATCCATCAATTTCTCTTGCCACAGTTCTTTAGTGGGGATTTCCTCGTTCTAGAAAGGCTCTCTTTTTAAACCCCTGGGGTCATCCCAAAATTCTAGGTGTGTGAACTGATACCTTCCACAGAGACTTATCCATTTGTAATCTTGGAGTCGAGTCTACAAATCGTGTCCTCCGCCCAGAGAGCACGCGTTGCGGTGGGATTATCAAGACCAACCTCACTGCTGTGGTGGGTGGGAGCAATTGGATAGCCACAACAACCCGATTGGTGGTACCTTGGTCGCTGGGGGTAAATCTGGCCAACGGAATCGATTCATGCATTAACTGAGGGACTTTTATATGCCGCTGCACGTTGCGTTGAGCTTCCTCTTTTTCGCCTCGTGCACCGGATCACCTGTCCACCCTTTTCCTATATTAGGGTTCATTATGACCTTGCTATGCCATCGTGGGTCATCTGTTTTGGGGGCAGGGGCCTGTGGTAGGAATTTTCCCATTTGGCTGATTGGCTGTTGCCACTTGGGTTTCATCTGCCGCATAGCAAATCGTCACAACTTTGTAAGGTTTGGCGGTTAGGCATTGGTTCAAGGTGTGGTGGGGGTAGGTTGTTACACCTGCCCCTCCCATGCGCGAAAGGGTATTCTGTTAAAGGAATCCAGGGTGTTATGTACTGAGTTGAATAGGATCCAACAGGCAGCTGTCTGATTGGTCCTAGAACAATAGGATTCAGAATGCAGCAGTCTGATTGGTCCTAGAACAATAGGATTCAGAATGCAGCAGTCTGATTGGTCCTAGAACAATAGGGTCCAGAATGCAGCAGTCTGATTGGTCCACAGGAGCCACCCAATCCAGCTCCAGGTGGAAGTGAATCCGCAACCTGATTGGCCTACAGGTGAATACCGGAATTAGCCAATCACGTGGGGCCCATTGTGTAAATAATGTATACAAAGCAGACATTCTGGGGGAACTTCCATTCCTCCTCACTACTATGAGCTGAATAAAGAGCATGAAATCCATTCTCGACTCCGAGTATATTTCACAGGGGCTCGCCTTGCTTTTGTCCGATCCCCTTCCAGGGCTTAGGGCCACGCCAGAGCCCCTGGGAGCATCTGGGGTGAACTTGAGTCTGAGCCTGGTCCAGTGCTCCCCCAAGATGTTTTCCCTTCCTGACGTCTACCAGAGTCCAGGCGTCAGTGCTGCCCTGCTGAGGTCAGGTGCAGCTAGTCGGAAACCAATACCTAAGCAAACCACTCATGATCTGTAATCAATAAAGTTGTGGCCAAAATTATGCCAATCACCTTAAACTAAATTCCGTATCAATTGTGTCTTTATTTATTGAGGAAGGTCTTGGGGTCTTAACACGCAAGCTGACCTTATAGCTACAACATCCAGGGTAATTTCTGCCATTTCCCCCTGAATCCCTCTCTGCCACCTGATTAGAAGATTTGGTGAAATTTAAAGCTTGCCACAATTTTGTGACCTTTTCGTTGGTTCTAATAAGGGTATTGCTCAGCTGCAGATATTCGAGCTCCCCTCCCCCCAAGGTTTTCTATGGACCAAGATGATTACATTTCTTTAAAAAAACCTGAGACATGGTCCCTGCAGCCAGTGATTTGATGAGTTGCATGCTGCCTTGGGCACCATACAGTTGAACAGCAGGATGAGAATACTGTAAATAAATAAAAAATCTAAACTTCACATCTTGGAAGGTGGACTGCACAACTTGATGTTATAATCCTGGATAAGGAACAATGCCTTTAAGGTTTGGGGTAGGGGAATTACGCTCTAACAAAATGTTTTGTTATTGTATTGAATGTCAAATTCGGATCACATCCTGGGGTAAATGCTCAGTGTTTATTCAAACACCATGCTGTTTCCATGAAAATCGGGATGTCTGGACAACTTCACTTGCATTCGCATCTGGCTGAGATGTAGCAAAGAAGCAACAAGCAACAAAAAGATGCTCACTTTAGCCAGCTGTTGGGCTTATCCACACTTAATTTTCTTCTGCTCTTTCCAGGTCTATGCTTTAAAGCTCAACTGGAGCAAACATCAATCCAAGGAAGACCTGAATTGATGTTTGCTCCAACTGAGCACTGAAGAGCACGTTTACATGGGGGGAAGCTCTAAAGCAAAGAACCCCCAAACACTGAACTTGTAAGCACAGGCATGTGCCTGGAAAGTACAGGGCAACAAATAAATGTAGATAAATAAGCCCACATCACAAATGAGGATTGTTGTTGTATAGTCATTTAGTCGTGTCCAACTCTTGGTGACCCCACGGACCAGAGCACGCCAGGCACTCCTGTCTTCCACTGCCTCCCACAGTTTGGTCAAACTCATGTTGGTAGCTTCGAGAACACTGTCCAACCACCTCATTCTCTGTCGTCCCCTTCTCCTTGTGCCCTCAATCTTTCCCAACATCAGGGTCTTTTCCAGGGAGACTTCTCTTCTCATGAGGTGGCCAAAGTATTGGAGCCTCAGCTTCTGTCCTTCTTCTGTCCTTCAGGGCTGATTTCCTTCAGAATGGATAGGTTTGATCTTCTTGCAGTCCATGGGACTCTCAAGAGTCTCCTCCGGCACCATAATTCAAAAGCATCAATTCTTCGGCAGTCAGTCTTCTTTATGGTCCAGCTCTCACTTCCATACTTCACTACTGGAAAAACCATAGCTTTAACTATAGGGACCTTTGTTGGCAAGGTGATGTCTCTGCTTTTTAGGATGCTGTCTAGGTTTGTCATTGCTTTTCTCCTGGTTTATGTTAAAGGGTGGTTGAAGAACAGCGAGGTAGCTCAGTTGGTTAGAGCGTGGTGCTGATAATGCCAAGGTTGCAGGTTCGATCCCTGTCTGGGACAGCTGCATCATCCTGCATTGCAGGGGGTTGGTCTGGATGATCCTCAAGGTCCCTTTCAACTCTACAATTCTATGATTCTATCTTAAGGGAGGCCCTGAGGTGGAGGAATAGAGGGACAGGGCTCTTGGGTTCACACTGGCACAGTGGAAGATAACCTGGCAACTTTTTCCTTCTTTCTCTCTCCCACCCCATCCTTCTCTTTGCTGGCCACCAGAAACAGCTGAGAGATGGAGGTGAAGTCACGATGCTTGCTTCCCACCAGGTGGGTTGCTGTTGCAACAATTCATAATTTGGTTCTGGCAGATCCTGCCAATGCAGTGCAGTGATTCAAATGTCAGGCTCCGATATAGAAAACCCTCGTTCCAATCTCTATCCAGCTTTAAAGGCCACAGGCTAGATCTGAGCAAATCACTCAGACTGCTTACAACTTAACCCACTTGTAGTACCAAAACAAGTAGTTTTTTCTCTCACTACCAGGAATCATTCATGCTCAATTTCAACATGCTTCTTTCAATCTAGATTGATTCCAGATCCTGCCAATCCACAAAGGTGAGTGTCGTTAATTGTTTGGAAACCCTTCCTTTGGTTAGTTTATCCATGGATGTAAGCTAGCCTTCCTAATGCTTACCCAGGATGGAGACAAGATGAAGATGGTAGCCAGGTTTCTTCAAGACGCAATGAGGATCTGTGAATGTTATGCGACAGTATTTTGATTTCTAGATGCAGATTTTGCTGAGCGATTTTATTGCACTGCACCTTTCAGAACTTTGTCTATACAGTGGTACCTCGGGTTACAGACGCTTCAGGTTACAGACTCCGCTAACCCAGAAATAGTACCTCAGGTTAAGAACTTTACTTCAGGATGAGAACAGAAATCGTGCGGTGGCGGCGGCAGCTGGAGGCCCCGTTAGCTAAAGTGGTACCTCAGGTTAAGAACAGTTTCAGGTTAAGAACGGACCTCCAGAACAAATTAAGTTCTTAACCCAAGGTACCACTGTATGCCAATAAAGGCTGGAGATTGAAATTGGGTTAACCAAAAATTTTCTTCTTTGCACATGCCCTGGGTGAATGAAAAAAGACATGCTGATTGTGATCTTAGTATACACCCACCTACCCAGTCATTGGGCTAGTGTGCATACACCCCCCCCCATTTATTTGGTCCTCCTACATTTGTTTTCAATGTGCAATGAGCTTTTACTTTCAGAATGAAACCAGCTTCTCAAGAAGCACTTTTCAGAGGCTTCTGTTGCAGTGTCCTGTTGTGCCAGAAGCAGTTTAGTCATGCTGGCCACAAGACCCGGAAAACTGTCTGCAGACAAATGCTGGTTCCCTCGCCCTGAAAGCAAGATGAGCACCGCACCCCATAGTCCCCTTTCACTGGGCTTATCTGTCCAGGGGTCCTTTGCCTTCACCATTACCTTTATTATGCAATATATCAAGACTGGGTGTGGACTATGTAGAAAAATACCAAGTGCTGGGTCTCCACTGATTCTAGGATAAAATGCTGTGCATTTGCAGCCACGATGTAGAGCCATGATTTCTCCAAATCATCACTGAGCAAAACATCACACCTGGTGACCTGTCTAAGTCTAGGTAGTTCTGTAGTAAGGTAAAGGTAAAGGGACCCCTGACCATTATGTCCAGTCGTGGCCGACTCTAGGGTTGCGGCGCTCATCTTGCTTTATTGGCCAAGGGAGCCGGCGTACAGCTTCCGGGTCATGTGGCCAGCATGACTAAGCCGCTTCTGGCGAACCAGAGCAGCACACGGAAATGCCGTTTAGCTTCCCGCCAGAGTGGTACCTATTTATCTACTTGCACTTTGACGTGCTTTCGAACTGCTAAGTTGGCAGGAGCAGGGACTGAGCAACGGGAGCTCACCCCGTCACGGGGATTCGAACTGCCAACCTCCTAGGCTCTGTGGTTTAACCCACAGCGCCACCCGCGTCCCAGTACTGTAGTAGAACAGAACTACCTAAATTGTATAGAAGTTCACTTATGTATGCTACTACAGTAGCAAGAATGTTACTTGCCCAAAAGTGGAAAGAAGCAGAAGTCCCAGAAAAAGAAGATTGGATACAAAAGCTTAAGGAATATGCAGAAATGGTGAAACTTACTGGAAGAATAAGAAATCAAGATAACAAACTGGAAATGGTTTATTGAATATTTACAGGCAGGTTCTAAACAGATAAAAACATTAGCAGGATTAATGTAATAACCTGCAGTTTTATAAGAGTATATATTTACAGTAGATAAATAAATGAGCAAGTTAAATGAACTTGGATATGCAGAAGATATTAAAAATTAATTTAAGGAACCGTAGAAAGAGGGGGAAGGAAGTCAAAATTTGGAAATGTTAAATTGATTGTAAAACTAATGAAATGTATAAATTTGAAATATATATATAAACTATTTTAAAAATGGAATTCAAGAAGTCTAGAATGGAGTGATCAGTGGAGGCTCCTGAGAAATTCAGCTTTCTTTTTATTTCTTTAAATGACTCCTAATAAGTTTCTTGGCATTATGGTTGGGAAGATATGCTGTGGAACCGCGTGCACTTCCTACTGGCCTGAGAAGTGCCTGAATAAGATTCCTAATAGCTTATTTCAGGACTAAATAGAGGGAGGCAAAGTCCTTGGTCTCCACTGAATCTAAAATAAAACTCATAAAATCATAGAATTGTAGAGTTGGAAGCAACCCCCAAGGCTCATCTAGTCCACCACCCCCCGCAGTGTCCAACGTGGAGCTTGAACCCACAGACCTGAGATTAAGAGTATTGTGCTCTACCGACTGAGCTATCCAGTTATGTGTACATAAGCATTCAGCTGGAGGGTGAGTAATGTCTGACTGAGCCCTATCCTACCTTACAGGGTTGTTGCGGGCCAAAATTCCACCCCAGTTCCTCAGGAGAAAGGTAGCACATAGATCTAAAGGCAGCATGTAGACTCTCCAAATGGCAGCTTCTTCTTTCCTTGTAGGGCGCCCTGCCAAACCCCTGTTCCTCTCCGCAGCAAATCAAGAGCTATAACCAGCGGGTAACAACTTGCAGACACAACTCACTGGCTGGAAAATGTTCCTGACAGCAACAAGGAAGCTCACATTATCCATCCCTCATATCCGTGAAAAAAGCTTAAATCAGGTACGCCACAGAGTTGGGTTTACTGATCAAAGCAAATTCATTCCAGACAGAAACAGAAAGGAGGCTCAATTATTTCCTAGTAGGGCTTAATGGGCTGCAATTGAGGAGAAGCATTTTTATGAATTAAGGGGTTGAGTTATGGTGATCAATGAGGTGCCAATCAAAGGGCCCTTCCTCCCAGGCAGGTGATGAAGGGCGCTTGCTACAGTGCAGCTGAAACCACATGAAATGACCTTGACTCTAGTTAGCAACTGGAAGGATGCCAAGTCATCATATTCCATATTAGCACAGCAGATGTGAGGGTGCTGGTCCCTTGAAGCCTAATTATCGGTGCTGCTAACCATCCCGGTTGCTAGCACAGGACCATCAATGGGCACACTAGTTCAAGGTGTATAACAATTACTGCTGAAGTTGCTTCTGATACTGTAGACCCAAGTATTTACCCAGTTATGGCCGATATGCCCTTGTGGGCCAGATTAAGACCTTTGCTGGACACAGGTTGGTCCATGTTCACCCTAAGCCCTCTTGAGACATTATAACTAGGGGTTCAGCCAATGCACGAGGGAAGGGCAATAGGAACAAGTGTGTAGATCTTGCTCTCTTACTATTCTGGTTTCTTTCCACGGCTAAGGGAGCTGGGCATGTTTAGCCTGGAGAAGAGGAGGTTAAGGGGTGATATGATAGCCATGTTCAAATATATAAAAGGATGTCACATAGAGGAGGGAGAAAGGTTGTTTTCTGCTGCTCCAGAGAAGCGGACACGGAGCAATGGATCCAAACTACAAGAAAGAAGATTCCACCTAAACATTAGGAAGAACTTCCTGACAGTAAGAGCTGTTCGACAGTGGAATTTGCTGCCAAGGAGTGTGGTGGAGTCTCCTTCTTTGGAGGTCTTTAGCAGAGGCTTGACAACCATATGTCAGGAGTGCTCTGATGGTGTTTCCTGCTTGGCAGGGGGTTGGACTCGATGGCCCTTGTGGTCTCTTCCAACTCTATGATTCTATGATTCTATGATTCTATGATTCTATGGTTTAGGGTACGATTCCTGTTTTGCTCAGGGCTTGCTTGCTGGAATTTTTTTGCCCACGGTGAGACCAGGATGCTGGAGAGCCAGTGTGGTGTAGTGGTTAGAGTGTGGGACTAAGACCTGGAAGACCAGGGTTCAAATCTCTGCTCTGCCATGAAGATTAGTGGGTGAATTTGCAGGGGCGGAGGAAGGGGGGTGCAGTGGGTGATCGCTTGCAGAGGGATTTTGAAATTAGGCTAAGCGCTGAAGGTTGATCACCTCTCATGTGGAGCCGAGCCTGTTGACATTTCTTACTGAAAGGTGCAATGGGGAGTGAGAGCAGTGTCAGTCTGGGTGGGGCAGGCATGCAAGTGAAAAATGAAGGCACTCTAGGCTCCATCAAGCATCATAGACGAGCAAGGGATGCGAGAAATGGACAGTGCCCTTTTGATATTTGTGAGGATGTCAAAGAGCCAGATAAAATGGCTAAAAGGAGAGGGAGAATCCATGGCTGAGGGTGGTGTGCCCTCCTGTCCCAGCCGCCCTTTCACAGGGGCAGAGGGACTTCTTGGTAGTGGTGCCCGCCCTGTGGAACACCCTCCCACCAGGTGTCAAAGGAAAAAACAACTACAGTGGACGCTTGGGTTGCGAACGTGATCCATGCGGGAAGCACATTTGCAACCCACAGTGCCGCATTTGCGCACACACGGGTTGCGATTTGGTGCTTCTGCGCATATGCAAAGCGTGATTTAGCACTTCTGTGCATGCACAAGCACCAAAACCCGGAAGTAACCTGTTCCAGTACTTCTGGGTTCAGCGCAGTGCACAACCCAAAATCGTGCAACCCAAAGCATCTGTAACCCAAGGTATGACTATACCAGACTTTTAGGAGACATCTGAAGGCAGCCCTGTTTAGGGAAGCTTTTAATATCTGAAGGACTATTGTATTTTAATCTTTTGTTGGAAACCACCCAGAATGGTTGGGGAAACCCAGCCAGATGGGCAGGGTATAAATAATTTTTTTATTATTATTATTATTATTTGCTCCATTAAATTCCTGATAGTTTTGCAAGAGGACACTGGTTGCTGGTTATAGATGTTTGCCTGTCCAGAAGAGCCAAAATCAGGCACCCCTATGCATACATCCCCAGAGTTTTGCTTCATAATTTCTGTTTCTCCTTTCTGACTGAAATTTCACCAGAACTGGGGTGGGACAAAGGCTTAAGCTAATTCCTGGAATCACAATTAAATCCAGCCAATGGGGCACATAAGGTCTGGGGGAAATCCCATTGAGATTTCAGGTAGGATTCAATCACATACCAGCAAACTGAGGTCTCAGAATCGGAGTTGATCGGGAGGTCTTGCACAACGACCCTGCTTCCCCAAGCAATTAGACTTTTTGCAATAAGTGACCGGGGTGTGTGTGTGTGTGATGCCTTAGGAAAGCCTATGGTAATGCTTTGAACGCACCCCCACCTAATCTCCCTGCAAACGAATCAGGATGAATATTCAATGAACAGGTAAACTAGAATGAGCCTTTGTGAACCACTTGCATCCTTTGTGTTATGTGTGCATGTGTGCAAATCTCCCCCTCTCTCTCTCTGTCACACACAATGCTGAAATCAATTGGGTATTGGTTCTAGTTTTATTATTGTTAAAAGCGGCTAGAAAGGGAGTCGGGGAGTAGCCTTCCAAGGAATAATAATTCCTTGAGACCCTGTCTGCCTTTCTTGGCACTGTCCCACACGAGGCAGCTGGCCTGTAATGGCATTTTAATGGTGTCATAATACGGTGCTTCTTTTAGGCGTGTCAAGCAGTAATGCTTCATCACACTCCCACTTTTGGCAGGCGCTGCACTAAGCATGGCCTGCGGGGGTTTCACATAAGCAGCCATGTCTGCATCCAAGTATACTTTCAAAGTCTATATTACCAAAGATCCCCAGAGGCCACAGCAAAGAAAAGGAGGGAAACGAAAGGAACATATATCTCCGTGTTTCTCCCCCTTCCAACCCCCACCTCTATTTCTCCTTCTGTGGCATATTCTCATCTAACTTTATGCAATTCATACAGCTGCATAAAGCAGTTTATTGCAGGGAGTAATTTTGAATTGTTTCTTCAACTCACCTCAGGGTGTTGTGACCCAGCGTAGTTTAACCTGGGTTATAAAGTGTTCGTGCTGCTTCCGTTGCGAGGAAAGTGGGATTTTGTGAGTGTTTTCGGGGAGAGATTGTCTTTTTTGATTTCGTTAATTATTATACGTTTTATGTTTGGGTATTCTCTTATTTGTGTGCACCATTGGCTATGCAAATGTAATAAGTGACGCTGTGGGTTAAACCACAGAGCCTAGGGCTTGTCGATCAGAAGGTTGCCGGTTCAAATCCCCGCGACAGGGTGAGCTCCCGTTGTTTTTCTTAGTTCCTGCCAACCTAGCAGTTCGAAAGCACGCTAGTGCAAGTAGATAAATAGCGGCGGGAAGGTAAACGGCATTTCCGTGCGCTGCTCTGTTTCACCAGAAGCGGCTTAGTCATGCTGGCCACATGACCCGGAAGCTGTACACCGGCTCCCTCGGCCAATAAAGGAAGATGAGCGCCACAACCCCAGAGTTGGTCACGACTGGACCTAATGGTCAGTGATCCCTTTACCTTTACTTTAACTAGTAATAAGATGAATTCATCTTATTTTTACACCACCCACTTTATTTGAGATGGGATGGGATGGAATGTATAGTCTTTCGTCCTCCTGACCCCCACCCTGTATAGCAAAGGGCCATCCATGGTCTCAGAGGTAGGCTGTAGTCTTGTATGTATTTACTTGGGAGAAAGTCCCACTGAGCTCAATTGGGCTTACTTCAGATGAGACATGTACAGAACTGTACTGTTATAGGTGCTTATTGAAACCAACGAACTCTCATGTCCTTGACTTTGTACTGAGTTGTGTTTTTCAATTAAATTGTACACTGTCCTGCACTTACTTCAAGGTCTCAAATAGGCAACTAGACCGAGCTTTCTGTAATATGCACATGTATTTGAGCACAACTGATTAATTGGCTAAAAGGCAGAGGGTTAACAGTGCAATCCTATACATGCCTACTCAGAAGTTAAGTCCCACTGAGTTCAATGGGGCGCATTCCCAGGTAGGTCTGTATAGGATTACAGTCTTAATCCACACACAAAAATACTCACCAAAAACTCCCAGCCTTCAAATCAGTTGACAGCCCTGATGGCTTCCATTCTAATCTTAACAGAATTTAAGCTTACCAAAAAGAAAAGGAAATGGTTTACATCCTGCCACTTGGTACTGAGGGGCAAAAGAAGGAGACTATTAAAAATGTATATAATATGAAACTAGGAGGTCACTACAGGTTACTCTCCAGGAGCACCGACAGAGCCATGCGGAGAAATTAATGCCTGCCTTGAAACTGTTCCACTAATATAAGTTTCCTCCTAGCTCTGTATAAAATCAAACGGATTGCTCAGTGTCTCATTTCTATTGAAATGTGTTTCCAATTTAGAATTTCTTCCCGCCCGCCCCCCCTTGCACCCGCTCACTTCCAAATCCACCCGCTAATATCCAAAAAGAGGGGGCCCAAACGCTGTTCTGACAAAATGTCCCTCTATAGCTTGTGGGTAATGAAACCCAGACGAACCTGCTGCCCATCGAAGAACGGCAAATGTGGTTTTCAAAATGATGGGTGGGTAGGCAAGGGAATAAAGGAGCAAGTGAGGAGCACCACTTGGGGAAGCGAAACAGTACTGAAGAGATAGCAAAGTGGGACAGGAAGAGATGTAGAAGATGGGCGAATCTGAGTATTTTGGTTTCTTTCAGTTTCTTGTTTTCCCAATCTTAAGTTCTGTTTTCCATCCGTTTTTGAAAAACCAGCCACATGAAAATTCATCGCCATGTTCTTGGCATGGAGAAAGTGGACAGAGACAAGTTTCCCTCCCACTCGAATAACATTTGAATTCATGGACCTCCAGTAAAATTGAAGGCTGGGTGGTGCAGTGCAAAGCTGGACTATGGAACGCACTCCTGCAGGAGGCAGGATGGCTTTAAAAGAGGACTGGACAGATTCATGGAGAAGAGGACTATCAATGGTTACCAGTGGTGTAGTGAGGGTTGCCAGTGCCCGGGGCTGCATGGAGAGGCGATGGGAGGGAAGCAAATGGACAGTGTATGCATGCACATTTGACTGCCTAACCACATCCATGTCACCCAGGAGATTGCAGCCACAGAGATAAGAAAAGAAGAGTTGTTCCGTTATCTGGAGAGGTCACACCAGGCATAGGCAAACTCGGCCCTCCAGATGTTTTGGGACAACAACTCCCATCATCCCTAGCTAACAGGACCAGTGGTCAGGGATGATGGGAACTGTAGTCTCAAAACATCTGGAGGGCCGAGTTTGCCTATGCCTGGGTCACACACACAAGCTGCTTTACTAAGTCAGACCATTAGATCATCCAGCTTACTGCCAACTGGCAGTGTCTCTTTAGAGTTTGAGACAGGAGTCTTTCCCAGTCGAAGAAGAAGAAGAAGAAGAAGAAGAAGAAGCTATTATTTATACCCCGCCCATCTGGCTGGGTTTCCCCAGCCATTCTGGATGGCTCCCAACAGAATATTTAAAACATGATAAAACATCAAACATTAAAAACTTCCCTAAACAGAGCTGCCTTCAGATGTCTTCTAAAAGTCAGATAGTTGCTTATTTCCTTGACATCTGAAGGGAGGGCATTCCACAGGGCAGGCACCACTACCAAGAAGGCCTTCTGCTTGGTTCTTCACTTATTGCAGCTTCACTGCCAGAAGACCCTCAGAGCTGGACCTCTGTGTCTGGGCTGAATTATGGGGGTGAAGACACTCCTTCAGGTATACTTACCCAGTCTTACCTGAAGCTGCCGGGGCTTGAACCTGGACCTTTTGAATGAAAAGCAGATGCTCTTCCACTAAGCTGTGGCCTTTCTCTGTGCTTCCTCAGGCTTCCAGAACTCTCCTTGGCTTCAGAACCTCCTCACACACCTCTCTCACTATTTCTGATTCCCAGAAACCTATATTCAGAAGTATCACTGCCTCCAGGCAGAGCGTAGACCATCATGGTCAGCAGCCACTGAGAACTTCCATGACTGCATTTTCCCTGGTACATCTTGTTCACCTTGCAGGAAGCAGCTAGGCCTTACCTACTTGTTATGACTCCTGACCTGCGCTCTGGCCCCAACTCAGATCTCCATGCGTCAGATACACCAATCGGCCTGCAATGCCCCTGTTGATCCATCTGCATTATATTATGTCCTCATTTATTACCAAGTGTGGTTTTCAAAGGGGATTCATTAGAGAGACGCAACCCGTTGCACAACGAAGGGACTGTTTTTCTTCCCACCGCTCTCGCATTCCCACCTCTTCTCAAGTTTCTCTTTCCCTCCCTTGCGATGGCAGGGATATGAGATGCTGGTGGGACAATATTTTGGATCCAACACCAGTTCATCTGTTCTGGACAATAAATGTGGGTGGCAAACAATACCTGACTCAACCCTTTCCTACCTCTCCTTTCTTTTTGGTGGCTGCCAAAACCATGAGAAGTGGTTAATTATCTTCTACAGCCTGTCTCTTACTTAATAAGGTGCCGGACCGCTGCACTTCAGTCTGGAAAATCTGGCTTCCTCCTAAGAGAAACAAAGGAATAATTATATGCCTGTGCAAAGAAAGAGAGAGAAAATAAATATGTTTCATAGGAGAAATAATTTCAATAAGCGCCTAATTTGTGTTTTAAGAAAAAGCTCCTAGGATTCATATGTTCAGGCCCAATGCATAGTCCACACCTAGGGTAGCCACTTACCCATTGCCGCAAAGAGGACACATATTTGCATAAAATTTGTATTTGCTCATTTATATGTATAGACTCATAGTCTAGTCCAACCCCCTGCGATGCAGGAATCTCAGTGACTGGGGCAACCCAATCAGATGGGCAGGGTATAGATAGTAAAATAATAGTAATAGTAATAGTAATAATAATAGAATAGGACGTCCCTATTTTCATTAGATAAATGTTGGAGGGTATGTTTCACCAGTTTTACTGGGACATCCTGAAACTACAGAAGCCATCCTGATTGGATCCCGGAATGTCCCATTTCCTGCCTTCCAGCACCACAACTGAGCCCAGGGAGGAAGATGAGCTTGCAGCCCACGCTTGAGCTTGCAGTGACGCTCCGCTCTCACACGAGTCAACTGACACCCACGAGAGTGCAGCAGCAAAAGACGTGTGAGCTGGGATGGCCCAATCGGTAGAGAATCATAGAATTTGCAGAGTCGGAAGCGACCACAAGGGCCACCTAGTCCAACCTCCTGCAATGCAGGAATATTTTGCCCTTGAGACTCTTAATCTCATGCTCAACCGACTGAGCTATCCTTCAGATGGGAAGTGGAATAACCATGCATGCTGCCACCTTAAGCTTCTTGGAAAAGGAAGGCTGGGATGAACAACAGAGAAATGGCGCCGACCATCAAATCCAACTTTTCTTGCATAGAATGCACTTATGCATATCTTCTACAGTGGTACCTTGGGTTACATACGCTTCAGGTTACAGACTCCACTAACCCAGAAATATTACCTCGGGTTAAGAACTTTGCTTCAGGATGAGAACAGAAATCGTGCTCCAGTGGCATGGCAGCAGTGGGAGGCCCCATTAGCTAAAGTGGTGCTTCAGGTAAAGAACAGTTTCAGGTTAAGAACGGACCTCCGGAACGAATTAAGTACTTAACCCGAGGTACCACTGTATAAGGAAAAACACAGATCCAACCTATTAACTTCAAGGAGTTCCCTTGCTGCTGCTGAGATCAGCCGATCAGAGTTGGAAATCTTCTGTCATTACCTGAAGTGCATTGACCAGAAAACTGACACTGTGTGGCCCTGAGTTGTCAGTTGAAGTTCTGATGGCAGAGACCCCTCCCCTCACTTGCCACCTCCTTTTCTGACATCTGGTAACAAAGTGCAGCTCCCTTCTGAAGAAGTCCGTGGGAGGTTAAAGGCTAATGATATCAAAAACCTGAGGCTGCCTGGTTTATTGTAAGCCTTGTTTGCTTTAGATCGAGCTCGTTGATCGGAATGAAACACCCACCACTGGGAAAGGAAATGTCTTCAAAAGTGATTTAGCAGCCTGGGTCTCAAAAAAGGAGATTGAGGTGGAGGAGCTCGGGATGGAGTTGGCTTTCAGAAATAGGCTGCAGCCTCATTAACTGGAGTTAATTACGTTTTCCTTCTCCTAGATGGGCTGCCTTCTCAAGCTGATGAGCCCCACCTGCCCCTATATGAAATGTAGGTTCACATATAACACCTTATAAAGCCTTATCCCATCAGAGCTTAGCATCCCTAGAGGAGGGCGTTTGCGCAAAGGATCAAGATCCTTGCTGGGTACATGAAAGTAATCATACAGTTCTCTGTTGGTGTTATGCACTGAGTTGAATAGGATCCAAATGTAGCAGTCTGATTGGTCCTAGAACAATAGGGTCCAGAATGCAGCAGTCTGATTGGTCCACAGGAGCCACCCAATCCAGCTCCAGCTGGAAGTGAATCCGCAACCTGATTGGCCTACAGGAGAATCCCGGAATTAGCCAATCACGTGGGGCCCATTGTGTAAATAATGTATATAAAACAGACATTCTGGGGGAACTTCCATTCCTCCTCACCACTATGAGCTGAATAAAGAGCATGAAATCCACTCTTGACTCCAAGTATATTTCAGTTGGTGACCTATTTTATCCACCTAGCTTCCTAGCTACCAGCACTAGACCAGCAGCTATTCCATCAGGTTACAACTGAAGAGGGGACAGAATGGATGCAGGACTATGCCATCAGCATAGCTGAGAGACCAGCAACTTTCATTGCAGCCTCTTAATGAATTTTTCCACTCCAGCCGGTCATTGGAAGAACCTGCAACTGAGAACTTGAACCCGAGTTTGCTTACTTGCTCCTCCCTCCTAGTTCCTTTTCCTTTTGAATTGTGTCTTTAAGTCTGAGCCAGTCATTTATGTATTTATTTTAGTGACTTGTAAGCTGTTCTGGGGATGTGGGTGGCGCTGTGGGTTAAACCAAAGAGCCTAGGACTTGCCGACCAGAAGGTCAGCAGTTTGAATCCCCATGACGGGGTGAGCTCCCGTTGCTCGGTCCCTGATCCTGCCAACCTAGCAGTTCGAAAGCACATCAAAGTGCAAGTAGATAAATAGGTACCGCTCCGGCGGGAAGGCAAACAACGTTTCCATGCACTGCTCTGGTTCGCCAGAAGCGGCGTAGTCATGCTGGCCACATGACCCGGAAGCTGTACGCCGGCTCCCTCGGCCAATAAAGCGAGATGAGCACCGCAACCCCAGAGTCGTCCGCGACTGGACCTAATGGTCAGGGGTCCCTTTACCTTTACCTTTAATCTGCTCTGAGAGCTCACTCCCTTTTCTTTTTCTTTTGGCTGGTGAGTTGGATAAAGGGGGTGGGAAAACATATTTAAATAAATAACCCTTGCATTGACTACTCATGTGATAGAGATGCCTAAAGTCGTGATAGAAAGGAAGCAGTTCAGTGGTATTTTGTGGCCATGTCCACACAAGTATCGAGAAGATGCACTCGCCATGTGCTCACATGCAAATCAGGAGCTTCTAGAGAGGTGGGTGGCACTGTGGGTTAAACCACAGAGCCTAGGACTTGCCGATCAGAAGGTCGGCGGTTCGAATCCCAGTGACAGGGTGAGCTCCTGTTGCTCGGTCCCTGCTCCTGCCAACCTAGCTGTTTGAAAGCACATCAAAGTGTAAAGTAGATCAATAGGTACCGCTCCGGCGGGAAGGTAAACAGCTTTTCCGTGCACTGCTCTGGTTCACCAGAAGCGGCTTAGCCGGCTCCCTCGGCCAGTAAAGTGAGATGAGCTCCGCAAGCCCAGAGTTGGCCATGAGTGGACCAGGGGTCAGGGGTTCCTTTACCTTTACCTAGAGATGCAGGGAGGGGAGTGAAATTTGAGGGAAGCGAATGAACACACATGGAGACTACCACTCCTTTTGAGAGAAAAAAACCCTCATTCCTCAAAAGGTAGCATTTGGTCAGGGACAAGCCTCTATCTTCTGAAAAAGGGACTATCTTTGGTAAACACAGGGAGTTAAAACAGATCAAACAATCTTTGTATATGACCACACATGATAATGTTTCTCCTGATAATGATGCTGTCACCTCGTCATGTTCAGGAAATCTTGGGGCATATGAGGCAAGTCACCAAAGCATACAAGAGATGTCCCTGAACTGAACTGAACTGAACTGAGATAGAACTCAGTTTATATTTGTTTTCAAAAAACAAAACAAAAACCCAGAGTCCTTTTGTTGGGGATAACTCAGACGACAATTCCCAGGTATCGGAAAAGGTTATTTATGTATGCCACTACTGCGGCTCCTGTTTTGTTAGCCCAAAAATGGAAAATGAGTGAAGTCCCAATTAAAGAAGAATGGCACCTTAAACATACGCAGCTTGCAGACCTAACATATAGAATAGAAGAACAAGAAGAATATATGTTTAGAGAAGATTGGAAAATGTTTATTGAATTTTTTGGGGGGAATTGTGTATATTTGAAAATGTGGGCAGCATTAAGATAAATTCAACAGTGTAAATAAGTTTTGATGGGTGCAATAATGGGATACTAAATGGCTTTGTTTATATAAAATATGCAGGTATTTATGTTGTGCAAAATGAACCATGGAAAGAGAGGAAGGGAAGTCATTGATATTTTAAGGTTATTTAAGTGAATATTCTAAAATGTAAAACTAATATATATATATATATATATATATATATATATATATATATTTATAAGCCCACAGGTTTTCATATGTCCATAGGCCGTATGTGGGTGCAGGATCTGATCCCCTTGCAAATACTCCCTTTTTGGGAAAGGTCATTGACAGGGGTTATTGTGCAACAGTTTGCAAGCACTCT